CAAAGCAATGATCAGTAATATTTATGTGGAAGCATCCTCGGGTGGTGTAGATTCAAGTTTGTTCAAATAATTACCCCCAGGGGTAGGGTGGGACCAAAATGGACGATGAAAGTTTAACATAGGTGTACATAGGAAAAATCTTCAAAAATCTTCTTCTCAAGAACAGCAAAGCTATGATTGGTCATACACATGTATTTATGTGGAAGCATCCTCAGGTGGTGTAGATTCAAGTTTGTTCAAATCATGACCCCCGGGGGTAGGGTGGGCCATAATGAACGATCAAAGTTTTACATAGGAATATATAGGATATATCTTTAAAAATCTTGTCAAGAACAGCAAAGCCACGGTTTGTCACATTTATATGGAAGCATCCTCAGATAGTGTAGATTCAAGTTTGTTCAAATTATGACCTCCAGGGGTAGGATGGGGCCACAATGAAAGTTCAAACTTGCAGAGAAAAAAGTCACTGTTAGTCAAAAAATTATGTAAGCATCCTTAGTTAGTGTAGATTTAATTTCGTTCAAGTCATACCCCCCCCCCTTTTGGGGGTAGGTTGGGACCACTTATGCATTTAAGCTTTTCAATACTAAACTGATTTTTCCTTTTTCCTAGCCACAGTGCTCAGGTGAGCGATGTGGCCCCTGGGCCTCCTGTTTTGTTTTGTATATGTACCTTTGACCAGTTTGTGTATAATGTATATATGTTATTAATGTACCCCATGTACCAGTATTTTGGTTTGGTGAATAAACTGAACTTGAACTTGCAGAATGTGCTGGCAAGAAAAAGATCCCTCACTGCTTTAAGACCCTAAATGCCATGTAGAAGTCAAAATTTGCAGCCCTCCAAATTGCAATTGACACAATTGGTTGCGTCTCAATACGAGTGAAAAATTCGCGAAGAGACGTTAAACAAACAAACAATTAAAAAAAGTTGCACCGCAAGGTATGCAGTATAGGTATATACATGATCATGATTGTGTTTTAAAAATCAAGTTCAAGTTCAAGTTCAATTTATTCACTCAAACCAATTAATGGTACATGAGGTTCTATGTACAATATATACAAAAACAATATACAAGATACACGTGAAATGGCGGAAATACATTCAAATTATAAAGTAACAAAAAAAAAAAATAATAATAATAATTATGGAGGACAGACTTGTTCATATACCCTATCTATGTAGCTGCATAGTTTGATTAATACCTTGGAGTCAGCAGTTGACAACAATTCTGAGAATTTGTAGAAATTTGGTCTATTACAATATTTACCAGGTAGATACTTTTTTCTGCATTCTGAGAAAAATTGACATTCTAAAATATAGTGATACTCATCAGCTATTTGTCCATTATTACAGATATTACAGAGTCTATCATTTTTGGGAATTCCAAACCATCTCCCAGTCTCAACTGGGAGATGATGATTTGCTGTTCTTAATTTAATTAAAATTGTTCTAAATTTTTTAGGTAGAAAGTCTAAATATTTTTCAAATCCAAATTCTGTTTTGAAGATACTATACATATGACCTTTAGACGAATCGCGCATATCACTTTGCCATTTCTGTATGTACTGATCTTTAAGACGTTGTTCAACTATAATTTTTAGCCATTTTACATTTAAAAAGGCCTGTTCATTCCATATATTTGAGAAGCCACAAGTATCAAGTATATTCTTAATACATAAAATCCAAGGGTTCTTATGACTTCCTGAACAAAACTGTTCAAATAAATTCTTATATGTAACATAAACAATCTTATTTTCAGGGCTTACCAGTAATTTTGCCCAATGTGATATCATTCTTATATACACCGTTATATACAAAGGGAATCGACCCGTTTCGCCATAAACCATATAACTAGGAGTACTACTTTTCAGATTAAAAATATATTTCAAAAACTTGAGATGGACGCGTTCAATTATTTCAATGTTCTCAAAACCCCATATCTCGCATCCATACAAAAGTACTGGTGTGACAACTTTATCGAACAAATCAAGCTGGCAATCTACTGGTAAATTAAATTGTCTAATTTTTCGTATAACACCATACATGGCTTTTTGAGCTTGCTCACATAAATGTTTTTTAGCCTTACAAAATGAACCGGATCGGGAAAATAGTATACCTAGGTATTTAAATTCATTCACAATTTCAATAACAGAATTATTGTAGTAGAATACATTTTTTACAGATGGACCTTTCGAAAAAATCATAATTTTTGTTTTGTCTACATTGACATTCAGTTTCCATTGTAAACAATACGAATGAAACTCATTAAGAGCGTGTTGCAAACCCTCAGCAGACTCAGACATCATAACTGTATCGTCAGCATAGAACAAAATAAATAATTTAAAATACAGCCAAAATTGGTTTTCTACAGTATTTGAACTGCTTGCATTAAAGGATAGCCCATGCACATTTTTACTAATGAGAAATTCTTCTAAATCATTAATATACATAGAAAACAAGAGAGGCGATAAATTTTCTCCTTGGCGTACACCAATGTTACAGTTGTAAAACTCAGATGAAAAACCATTCATAGTCACAAGGGACTTAACTCCATTATACATATTTTTTATAAATGTAAAACATTTACCACTAATGCCATTATTTAACAATTTGTACCAAAGCCCATTTCTCCACACCGTGTCGAATGCCTGTTTAAAGTCAACAAAAGCACAGAAAAGTTTCTTTTTGAAAGACATAACCATATTTGTAAGAAAATGTAAAGTCAGTATATTATCTAAGGTCGAATATCCTTTCCTGAAGCCAGTTTGACTTTCACTCTACATAGTCTACATAATTCTCTACATAGCATTCCAAACGTTTACATAAAATGGAGGTAAAAAGCTTACCAAGACAACTTAAAAGTGTTATTGGACGATAATTTTCTGGATTTGTTGGGTCGCCTTTATTTTTGAAAATCGGTTTGACAATACCTGTGAGCCATTCGTCTGGAATGACTCCACTATCAAAAATCAAATTAAACATTTTTTTGTATACAGGCAAAAAAATAGATACTGTTGATGAAATATGTTCGTTTAACAATTGATCGTAGCCTGCGGCCTTATTATTTTTCAATTTTTTTACTGCAAATAAAATTTCTTCCTCACTAATCTCAAAGTTCAAAAAATCATCACATTCATGGCTGTCTGTTGAGAACCTTAAAGTATCACCATCTTCTACGTCATTATCATAACCTTCATTGATGCCCTTAAGAAAATCATACATAGCATTAATATCTACAGCACATTTATTTGACATATTTGGACCATTTAAAATTTTCCAGTAATCTCGAGTATTTGTAGAGCGTAGTGATTTCAAGTTTTTTGTCATGCCTTTTCTATAATCTTTTATACATGAATCCAGTATCTTTTTATAGCTTTTGCTTTCTAATTGAAGATTAGCTTTATTTTCTAAACAAGAATTTTTACTATTTAATCGCTTTGCTAAATGATATTTCTTTCTAGCCGTTTTGCACTCTTTATTGAACCAGGGTTTATCGCATTTGTTTTTACAATTATTTATCTTAAAATTTCGACTGAACCCATATGTTGATTCAGCTGTGTTTAAAAATATACCACATAGCTTATTAGTAACATCATTTATAGTGTCTTTACTAATGTTGTTTGTTTCCGCACTACTGGTCAAAATATCTAACTCATTTTCTATGTCCTTGACCTTAGGTATATCCACATTCTCTGAAAAATGTTTTGCTTGATCTGGTGACCATAGTTTTACACGTGACTGAATTTCAACAATACCTTCACACCTGTGTTCTGTAAAAAAGGCTGGTAAGATAGAAAATGAAACAGGATTATGTACGTCCGAATACAAGTTACAGAAGTCAGTGATATCAAAATCTTGAATAATTTCAAACATAGGTGCTGTGGCAACCACATAATCCACTGTGCTACTACCTTTACAAGTTAAACCTCCTACATATTTGTCACTGCCAACACGGCCATTTACAATATAAATATCGTTGTTTTTGCAAAAATCAATCATTTTGTAACCAAAGTTATTAACATGGACATCTTGTAATACCCTATTGAGAGGAATCTTAAAGTTATCAAAAATAATAGTTCTGGTCTCAATGGCTGTCTTAAAAAATTCTTCACATTTGTGTAATTGTAACTGAAAATCATCAGCATCAAACCAGTCGTGTAAATTACCCACTCTGGAGTTAAAATCACCCATTAAACACAAATATTTACTGTCTTTAGATATAGAAATAAGTTCGCTCTCAATATCTAAAAAACAATCTGTAGATGCGTATTTACTGCCCTCGGGGGGCAAGTACACAACACCAAATATAGCATCTTCATCAGTATTAAGGATACATTTACTTATCTTAAACCATAGAATATATTTACAAGTAGTATTTAATATTTTCACATGTTTAACCAAAGTATCTCTTACAGCTAAAATAATACCTCCTGATCGAACTTTTGACAATTTTTGTCTATTTTTCATAAATAATGTAAAACCTGGCATTTGAATTATATCAGCATAATCTGTTTTTGTTTCGGTAAAGCCGATAATATCAAATTTGGAAATGTAATCTAAAAATTCAGTATAATTGAGTTTATTTTTAATTCCACAAACATTTAAGGACATACGCAACGTACCTTACCTACTGATAATTTTTCAAGATTTTCTTAATTTAAGATTATAGTGTCATCAGATGTTCGTAGACAAAAAGTCAGCATGCATTACCAGGGGTTTTGAAAAGATATCAACTGATGAAAATTCTTGTTTAATTCAAAGAAAAATACAAAAAAATTACTAAGCATATATTCTAGATGTTTTGTTTATCCAAACTTGTTTTAGAAGAAGTGTACAACAGCAAATATAGACATTAAAATGTAGCACACAATTCCTTTAAGTATTGGAACTCTTCAACTCCAGAGAAAAAGACAATAAAGTTCAAACTACGTTGCGTATGTCCTTAAACTTAGAAATTTGATAGAGTTGTTTGCTGATTTCTGACCCTCCGCGCTCTCCTATTTCGTCGGTGTAGATGATTTCCTTGCACGTTTGTTTCCACGCGGGGGTGGAGTAGGGTTGTCATCAAGGGCAGGTCCGCCGCGCGCTCCGGACGTCCACGGTGTATTCCTGGAACTCTCGGACATCCTGCGGGTTGGATAACTCGGGGCGTTGACATGTTCCTGTGTAGCGTTGGGTTCATACATCTTACCATCTATGTACAATTTGTCCACAACAAGTTTCACGCGTCTATTTTCTTTCATCGCCTTGCGCATAACTGGGTACAACTTACGCCGTTTCTCCTCTACCTCCGGTGGAAACTGTTCATTCACCCAAATGTTGGATCCCTTGAGTTTGAGTGGGGCACGTTTGCGAACAAATTCCCGGTCTTTATAAAAACTAAACTTTGCCACAATGTTCCTTGGTTTGGTTCTGAACTCATCTGGTTTTCCTAAACGATGAACTCTCTCAAAAGGGATTTCGTCATGGATTTTTAACTTGGTTTTTAGGAAATCTCGCAAAACATCTTCACAGTTTTCCTCTCTGTTTTCTGGTATTCCGGTAAACACTAAGTTGTCTCTCATGGACCTACTTTTTAAATCGATCACTGATTTTTCTAATTCTCGTTGACCGTTGCTCAGCTCCGTAATATCACTAGTTAATTTCTTGTCTAAATTGGCTGTATCAATCCGAATTGATCTCAGGTCTTGGTCTGCATGAGATTTTACGTTCTCAAACATATCACTCATGGACTGGGCACTTGCTTCAATGGACGACACGATCTGCTTCACATCCTTGACCTCACTCTCAAATTTGTTTACCCTTTCATTCAGTGTTGTTATGGAGTCAGTTATAGACTGAAAATGTGTCATTTTATTTTCAATTTCACACAACCTTTTGTCGAGTGATGTGTTATTGTTTTCAGTGACTGCAAGTCTTGAATTTATTTGCAAGAGAAGATCGTGTAGTGTCCCAAGAGAAATCTCTTTCTGGGCTGTTTGAGACTCATCATTACAATAGACTGGGTACATAACAGAATGACTCTGAGATAGTATATTCGCTGTATCTGCAATCGATGTTTCAGACATGATTTCATATATCAATTGTATTAGTCCGATGAATTACATTACATTCACTGTATACACTGTAGCCGGTAGCAGACATGTACGATCAAGAATGACCACTGAACACTATTCAATGCATGTCTGATTTTTTGCGAAGTAGATAGCGAAGTATATAGCCCATCGAAAACTCACCTAGAAAGTCCCCACATTGCTGTTTACCTGTTTTATATTTCTTGAGAACTAGTTCTTCAGCTTCATGGAGCTCTAAAAACACATTTACACACAGATTTTACACAAAATTTCACAGCAGATTCAAAACACCGCCATACTGATCGAGTCCTTCAGATTAGATCAAAACAAATAAAAAAGCCTATACATTTTGTGAACTTATGTAACTGTTTGAAATATTATGTAACATGTGTCAATTCTTGGATTATTTAGCAATATTTGGTTCATTAGTCACTACGTGCATGTAAGCTTACGTAAGTGTTTTAACCCAAGGATATTTTGCACTTAATTGCTCACTCAAGTTGAAAAATAATGTATAACTGTAAAATTGAGACGGGAAAAATTATTCCTCACACATTTGATCGCATTCATGGAATAATAACCTGGATAACATTGTGTTATTAAAACAGTCTATTAATTACAGGTAAGTCTATGATAAGAATTTTTTTTATAAAACTGTATTCAGTTATAAAATAACATTCTTTTTAGAAACTTTCAGTAATATTTGTACAAAAACTCACATTACGAGTTTTGTGAATAGAGCAGTTGTTGAAAATTTCCAGAAATATTTCAAAAATTACCGACGAAGAAAGTGATGGGGAAAATAAGTTGTTATACTGAGACTCTTAAAAGCTTTTCTAAACCAACACCTTGTAGGACGGATTTAGTGTTTAAAAAGCTTTATAATGACTATGAGCCTTATAAAAATATACAAAAATCAATACATAACAATGAGAGTCATTATATATACCATTCATTCAAATCTACTAAAATATCAATACTCCGTTGATCATGAAAATTCTAATTCGTTAAGTAAACGTTGTTAGGCATGTAATTTTGCTTATTTCTGTATATTATTTAAATTTACCTACAATTTATGCATGGATTTCTTATGTAGAGTTTCCTGTTGAAATCCGTAGTATATGTAAAATTTGATTATTACGCAATTTAAAGTACTAATCAGTTTATAGTTTCAGCGTACAGTGCAAAACTACATAAAATTTCAGACTTTAGCTGGTAATGAAAGCAAGGGGGATAATCTTTTTTCCTTTACAACTTAGTAGATTTGACAGTCAGAAGCAACGAAGTATTTCGTATTTTAATATCTGATTCTGAATAAACATATTTTAACAAGGATGAGGGCTTAATCATAAGTTTTACCAATTGGCTATTTGATAACTATGATATATGAATAATTATGTGAATAGAAAATTAAACAAAGGAAAAACTAATACAGCACGGGCAATGCAGGAATTATATCAACAGTTATTGATGTAACGTCGTTTATGATAACGTCATTAAGCCTTGCATAATCGCTAAGAACCGGTTTATGAATATTAATTTGGCAAAGAATTTATCAAATTTCCTTGGTATGATAAATCACCATTAACACATTTAGATTTATCTTCAGAAGACGTTTTGTCCTAATGTGAACGAAAGTCTAAGTAGAATTACCAAAAAAAAAAAAAAAATAAATAAATAGATAAATAAAGATATTTCATACTTAAATTGCTTGTTACCAAGCCAGTGACAAAATATTCATTGAGAGTATAAGGTTCTAATAAGTTAGAGACTGGGCGTTAGGATGCCTATTTTTATAGGACAAGTGGAGAAATCCCTGTCACAGAAAATTTTTGCGATTTAAGAAGCTTGGATTTTTTCAAGTACATGTAAAACAATATCATAGTGTTGGGTAGTCAATAAAAAGAGACATGCAAAAACAGACAATTAAGTATTTTGTTCCATTCTTATTCTCATTGAAATAAGAGAATTAAGTAAGCAATTCTTTATAAAAGTGTAGTCTGTATCATCCACAGATGATACAGACTAATTTAAGAGAGTGAGAGAGAGAGAATCTTATCGTGAGAAATATAATAACTATATATATATTCATTTTATCTTTAACAACATTAAATGTACATGAAAAAATGTTACTGGTTTTACGATTTTAGTCAATTATTTGTCCTTACTTAATTAAGTCACTGTAACTTTATTTAACGGCTGATGTAGGCCATTGCAGGTCAATCTATGATTCTATCGCACCGAGTGCACAATATCCGGGATCTGTCTTATGGTCTTAGTCGGCAAAATAAAATTTTTTTCCTGAATCTTAACTTAATCTAAATAATTTTTATTTCAAACACTAAATTCTTCCTTCATTTTTACTGTTTATTTGGCAAAACAATACTATTAACTATAAATATATGTACTTAAAAAACAAAATATATTCATATTTTTTAATTAATTGTTAACTTTGACTTAATATTTTGGAAACATAAGCTTTACAATACTGTTTCAGAATGTAATACAACTTTTTTAAAGTCATGTGTTGTGTTTCAACTAAAAGACTCGTCTTAATCATATTGAAAAATGATAAATTAAATTTTTTTTTTAATTGTGTAAAACACTACTTTACTTATCGTCATGACTGATAGTATGAGTTAACAAATTTATCACATAAGATGCATGTATATTTTTTATTTATTACTCGTTAATTGATGTCTAATTCATTAGAGTTCACTGACATTTTTCTGTTTCAACATTAATGCTGATTTTCTTAAAGACTTCTCTTGCTGATGGTTATCGATGCTGCAAGTAATGTGGATCATATGCTGGTTTACTTATTTGATTGGTTTAGAACATGTCAAGTTCAGCGAGACAATTCATGATGTCTCCCTCACACGCACGGTGAAAACTGTGCATGCACTGAAAAAATTAAACACCATGCAATATTTTGTAAAAATGGGTAAAAAAGAAATATTTGTATGTACGTGTATAAATTGCAAGTAAAAGTTTTCTTTTTTCATGTTAAGGAGAGTTATGCATCCATGCACGATCATTATTTTAAGCTAATAATTCCACGTTGGGTTCTGGGTGGACAAGTTTATTTCTGATTAGAGGGGTTGCAGTTTAAATCTGACACGATTTTTTTTTTTTTTTTTTTTTTTTTTTTTGTAACCCCCAAATGAATGTGATACATATTTCAAGTAGTTATTCATTGTTGCAATTCATCATAAACTGATTTTTAATTTTTAGTTTTTATTCTAATAAAAAAAAAAAGGATTACGCTGCTGATTAGAATTTCTCTTTAAGTGTTTGAAAAGTTCAAGAATTGCATTCTGTACTATGGCTTTAATCGATCAAGTCAGAACCTTGCTCCATTAGCCTATCTGCGCCTGAAACTTCTTATTTCAAAATCATATTGAAAGCAGGATTAATTTGAGTCATTTACGTGGTTTAATTATTTCGCCATTTTTTTCATTTTGGGATGTGTTTCTAAAGTTATATTTAAGTTAACATTAAGATTTAAAGGGGCTTCGACAAAAGATCTGAAGTTAATATTTTCTAAAATTTTCAGTGTAATATCATAACGTGTATGTTGCCAGAGCATTTCACATCGAAATATAAAAAAGCGTGTTTAGAAACTTCGTTTATTTGGCAATAATTTATTATTAAAACTACGAATTTTGAGACGCGTTTGATTGACACATATCCTTGCACTTTCACAAAGTAAACTTTTTCCTAAATACTTGAGAAAAGTAGAAATTTTATCGTGTATTAATGAAAATTATTAAACCAAAATATTCAGAGTAGAAATGTGAGAAAGCAAAACCAACTCACCAAAATTGTCAGTCCATGCTCAGTAGTGTTTAGAGTAAACAAACTGAACACACCCGGTAAAACGTAAATATTAACAATAACAGAGCTCGTGCCCTAGTTACAAATACAGATGTTTGACATGATTTTATGATGAATGTTGTTGTCATTGAATTCTAAGAATATTCATGCAAGTTCAATGCTTTAAAATAATCACTGATTTAACGAGGCCGAGTCTAATTCCAGTGCGCATGACTTTGAGCAGCTTTTTAGTTTCATGCAGTCGTATCTGCAACGTAACACCTATCCATGTATTGTAATTGTAATACAAAATTAACATTATCTGTAACGTTTATGGGTCTTAAAATGTGCTTTTAAGACAATATTTAGGAATAAATGCTGAAATGGCTTTTACGACGTCACTGTTTTCCGGTTCTGTAAGCAATGCACATGACGCTGAAGAATGATGCTTGACTCGCTTGAGTATTCAAGACGTTCTTGGACATTTTATGAAACACTGTTGACAGAACATCAAAAGAAACATGCCATCAATCTAAACATTGTTAATTTTTACCAAAATAATTCATCTTCCCCGATATAAACAAAATGTATGCCGCAATATGGCAGATTTAGAGGTATTGGGCATTGGGGAAAAATAAACTTTAATTTATAATAATTCCTAGACCAAACCAGATGGTCAACGGTTTTGAAATTTCACATTTTGTTGACTTTTCATAATAACTTTCATGTATTTGACTGAAAGCGGAATCCCTAGGGCAGAAATACAAAATATATGGGGAAAATGTGATAATCTGGCGCTTTTCCAACAAATTCCCATAGGGTCCGATAGTAAAATTTGACAACTTTTAAGATGGCCCTCTTAGAAATCGGGATGGTAAACATTTGATATTTTTATCTTAAAATAATTAATATAATAGTAAAGATTGATTCAAAAAAATTCATCAAATATTTAGGGTAGAAATAATTAGACTCGGCCTCGTTAAATGACTAAAACTGTCATTTTTCGAAAAATAATAGAAATTTAAAATTGTAAACAATACAAAACTGTGTCCAGGCCCCTTTAAACTTTTAAAGTAACATACAAAATGCCAAAACTAAGATTTTGAAATGGCAACCTTTTACCGGCACACTCCATTTAACATCTAGGTAATTCATTTCATTAAAAATCAATAAAAAGAGGAAAGCCTTTGAAAAATGAATATTCCACGCAACAAAAACACCTAGATCGTACCCTCTTGAACCTATTGTCCTAAAAGTAATTCACATTCTATATACAATCACCTCAATCCCAAGCAAATATTTTTTTCAATTTTAATGATAACGATGAAAGCCTGAATTTCCTGTCAAAACAAAACAAAAACGCAATTTATTTGAGAGAGTAAGAACATTTTCAAAAGGATAAGAAGCATTATATAATTTTCACTTGAAAACAATTTACTTTAATAAGCAAAACCAAGGTGTTAAGTCTGTAATTGCTTACTTTTACATATTGTTGGTCGTAACTTATACTATCTAACACTGTTATGTAAATGCAAGCTGTGTTAACGCTGAACGCAAAATTTGAAAACTTGCAATTGCGATTTGTGAGATCGCAATAATTATTGCAAAATTGTACGGTAAAGATTTTTACTTTAAATATGGCATGTTGCATTTAGCTGGTCAAAAAATGGGATGAACAAGAGAGCTACAGATCCACACATTTAAAATGTATATTTACTGTGCATGAAAAAGTTAGCACATTTCTCGATTTCTATTTCCGTATATTGAAGCTGACATTTCAAAATATTACAAACCACAACAAAGCATTCCCCACAGCCGTTTTACCCTCAAGGCCTGGGTCTGAAATTGAGACCATCGCCAATTTAACCTATTTATACGTCATTCTTTCGGTTAATACATGTAGGTTTTAAGGATGTTTACTCAGGGTTCAAGTTGACATAGCTTGCCAGTTATACTTTTTGGACCTATCAAGTTTAATACAATAAACGAATTCTCTATACAGTTTGCGTATTACAATTTACAACGTACAGATAAGGCTATACAAATTGCACATTTAATTTGAACCATTTGTCTTTCAATACATTTTAAAGTCTATTTGATCAATGAAATGAAGATTCAGGGGTAATTCAAGCGTACTAGCATTTGTTAACAATTTAGTGTATTTTACAAAGTTTTTTTTTTAATTGTAAAATCATCACTCATAAGATGGTTTTTAAGCATAAATCTTTATAGTAAAACTACTTATCGATAGATGCAGAATGTATGGGCAGAATAAAATGTTTTTAATTTAACTCTGAATTAAAATAGTTGAAATATGTTAAAGGATTAAAATTGTTCAGTTGAACCGTGCAATTTAATACACAACTTAAAACGTTTAAACAGAGTATACATGTGCAATGAAACATCCCAGCTGATTTTTATTAAATGTTTACAGACCAATGAACACACCATTGGTAATACTAGGGCTGGATAAAACCCTTAAAGAAACAAATGTTGAGACATTTATCAAGCAAAACTTGTTCGTTTTTCATTTTCGTCGTTTTCAAATGCCTAGATCTTATCGATGTTTTTCTGGTAAATGAATTTTGTAAGCTTCATTACTAGAGTAGGAATTTATCGTCCACCTTACACTATTTAGGAATAAGCTAATGCATCCATCAAATTAAACAAATTTGAAGATATAAAAAATATAACATATTTGTATCATACAGGTCTCCATTAAATTTTCATATCGGGAATTAATTTAGATTTGTTTTTATTTTATTTCTTTTTTTAAATATTTTTTTTCTTTGGTCCTAGTCACTACATGAAGGTCCGGCCACCAAAAGAAAACAAATCCTGGATCCTCCCCTGTACAGAATTAATCTTTCAAAAATGCACCTAATTCCTCTTGTTGGAAGGTGCACCAGCATTGTTTGTCATCTAGCAGTATATATACTGTATAACAAGATCATTAAATGGCCATTACCTTATATGCCCCTTTTACCGATTTAGTGGTCTTAAAAGAATGAATTGATGGCCGTTTATATAGTCTGTCAATCACCAATAAAGAGAAGCGAAGCAAAACACATAACTGAAGCAGTGCGGTTTTCTGTCCTCGAAAATGCCTTCCTCAATGAACATGAACTCTTCGTGACTTTAACAACATAGTGACTTTAACAACAAACTTTTTTTCTTTCCTTTAAGTGATAGATCCGGAGTGCTGTTAACTTGGGGTAAGTTGATAAAATGGATTTTTTTTTCAAAAGCAAATGGTTATTTTTTTTTTCAAAAGCAGCTTATTTTTTTTTCTAAAGAATAACAATGTTTAATCACACACTGTGTAAATGAAAATTTTCAATCTTATACCAAATCTTTTGTATGCACCAGGCCCGTAGGAAGCAATTTCAGTTTGGGGGGGGCACAGTCATACATTTTCAGTTGAGGGGGCACTATCAACCAAAAATTCCTTGACAAGCAAAAAAAAAAAAGAAAAGAAAAAAAGGTCACCAGGCGTTTTTATTGAGGGGGCACAAGCATACTGTATAGTAGCTATGTTTCTATAGTAATCTATATATCGGCAAAATTGGGGGGGGACGCCCCCCCGTGCCCCCCCCCCCCCGGTTCCTAGGGCCATGCGCAAGGTAGTTTTGCTTTGCATACTTGATTTGTTTTAAGGCGATTCAACCTAATATGAAACTAAAGTAAGTGGAAAATTGTAAGATAGGACACTCAGATAGAAGAACTTTGTGGTTTAAATTCTTTTTAAAATCTGATACATGTTCATGATATCGAATACAAAGCAATAACCTCCGAACATACCGTTGTTTAATATTATAAAAGTTTTGAAGATATTCCCACTGCAATAAAAGAAAGTAAAAAAAACAAAAACAACAAACAAACAAACAAATAATGGAATATGTTTGGAATTCATTTATATCCAAATACATATATATAAAAGGCAAGTCGATCATAGTATTTTTTTTTCATTCTTTTACATAGGTACTATGTTCAAACAGCACTCAATTACATTCTGAATTTCCTCTGTCCTAAAACTAGCATTTTACAAAAATTCACACTTTCTGATACTAAAAAATCTCTTTTAGTATCAGAGAGTTAGAATTTTTATAAAAGGCTGGTTTTAGGTTATATTTGGGATTTTTCAGTTGTAATTCTCTGTGAATATGTCATAGAAAAATATTTTATTTTTAAAAAAGTCGAAGAACCCTTGAGGTACAGAACACGGGGGGGGGGGGTCCCGTCCCCAAGTACCTGTGGGAATTTATAGTGATTAGATATTGCTCAAGAGATAAGGTCTAACGACAGGTTCCTCAAATATCTATTTTGTATATCTTCCTTATAAATGTATGTCAAAACCTGTCAATAATTGTCATTCTCTTGTGAATTCTAAACTGTTTTCAAAATGTCTTGAAAAATAAGTACAAGAAAAAATTGTCACATTGGTCAGGCCCATAGTAACGTTTTCAAAATGAGGGGGGGGGGGGACTTCCCAAAAATGTCTGACAAGCACAAAAAAGGGGGGCTAATTTACTGTCCAAATCCTAGAAAAAGTTGGGGGGCAACCAGCATCTAAAGGAAAATTTTTTCTGTGAGGAAACTCGTAAAGTAGCAATACTTCAAGGACAAACTCCTGGGAAAAAAAATATATTATTATTAATAAGGAACCTGTTGTCTGACCTTAAATTTCTAATAGATTGTGTTGGACAGATGAGCAATGCATTCGCAGATCTGAGAAATGTGAGAAGCTAAACTAAAGATTTTTATGCCATCGTAATCAAAGATTCGAAGGATATAGTTTTTGCTATGTCCGTCTGTCTGTCTGTCTAGCTGTCTGTTTAGCTGTTTGTCAACAAAAACTTAAACTTACCCATAACTTTTCGAGCCATGGCTTTCATATTTCTCATTTGTATTCCTTGTGACAAGCCTTTCTTCGGGTACCATCAAGTTTTACCTCTTGAACTTGACCTTGAAGCTTTTACTCACTTTTGCAAAATTTTACCAAAGTTTTACTTTGGTCATAACTTTTGAATGGTTCACAGGATGAAACTACACCTTTCAGTCAACTGAATGGTCACGGAGAGGTCTGGAAAGGTGACTTTGAATGACAGAGCTCTGCCATTTAGTCACCTTTCAGTTACCTTTCAGTTAACTGAATGGCAGAGTTTAATACTGTGGTTGGTGCTAGGGTCTCATATTTCACAGGTGTATTCCTTGTAACAAGAACTTCCCTTGATTACCAATAATTTTTACCCTTTCACCTTGATTTTTGAGTTTGACCTACTTTTGAAAAACTTTAACCTTGGAAATAACTTTGAACGGTTGTAGACAGGGCTTTCATATTTCACTTATGTATTTCTAGTGACAAGACCTCTCCTTGAGTACCAATAATTTTGACCCATCAACCTTTAACTTGGAGTTGACCCACTTTTGAAAAAAAATTTACCCTGCCTATAAATTATGAACGGTTGGTGCTAGGGCTTTCATATTTCACAGATGTATATTCCCTGTGACAAAAGCTTTCTTTGGTACCAACATTTTTTACCCTTTGACCTCGATCTTGGAGTAAGATTTTTGAGAAACTTTAACCTTCGCCACAAGCTGCCATGCAGAGGGCATCAGTGTTTCACAAACACATCTTACTGTAATGTAGAAAAAAACCTACTCTTTCAGTTTCCCAAAAAAAAGTAAATGTATTCGTAAGTCGCAAAATTTTATTTTATTAGTCCCCTACCGGTGAAACCGGAGGGGACTATAGGTTTCCTCTGAGTCTGTCCGTCCGTCCGTCTGTCTGTCTGTCCGTCTGTCCCTCTGTCTGTCTGTCCCACTTGGTTTTCCGCACTTTTCTTCTAAACGCTTGCAGATATTGAGCTGATTTTTGGTATGTGAGTGTATCTTGATGAGTTACAGAACAAGTTTGCATTTCGTTCCGCTTCAATGATTTTTGACGGAATTACGACCTTTTCAATTTTTCAGGGTTTTCCGCACTTTTTTCTAAACGCTTGCAGATATTGAGCTGATTTTTGGTATGTGAGTGTATCTTGATGAGTTACAGAACAAGTTTGCATTTCGTTCCGCTTCAATGATTTTTGACGGAATTACGACCTTTTCAATTTTTCAGGGTTTTCCGCACTTTTTTCTAAACGCTTGCAGATATTGAGCTGATTTTTGGTATGTGACTTTAACTTGATGAGTTATAGATCAAGTTTGCATTTCATTCCGCTTCATTGATTTTTGACGGAATTATAGCATTTTCAATTTTTACGAGAACCAGATTACACTTGACGGTAGGGGACTAGTATTGCTAATGCAATACTCTCAGAATGCTTGTTCGTTTTAGAATTATATATATTTTTTCATCTATTTGTTTCTTTATAACGTGCTGTGTTATATATTCTGAAATGTAAAGGTCGTAAATCATCATCAATTTCACCACTGTTTCTAATAAAATTCACATAATTTTTCAAATTTATGACAATGATTAGTTGTTCTATATTTGATCAACATATTTCTAAGGCTTACATTACTTTGTCATAATGCTAACTTGCTATGAAGCCGGCGTAGCCCCCCTTTTCCCCAGCTTTAATCAGAAGAGTCACAGTAAGCGTTATTAACCCTATCTTTTTCTTCCTTCCCTCCGTTTAAGCCTAACATTAATACCACATTTAAACTTGGTAAACACAAAATAAACTAGTAATACGTTTTATGAACAATAATGAAATTCAATTTTATGTGCTAAAACAATGCCTATAAGGTTTTATATGAAGAAAGCATGTGTCTGCATCAAGTATAACCTTAAATGATTTTGTAGGGTAGTTCGTTTCATGATATACTTCCCATAATAATGTTTATTAGGCAGAGTGCTTACGTGTATATGTTTTGTTTAATATGTGGTTACATGTATGTAATAATTTAATATGAGATTGCAGATATGTAGTTTCGCTTTTGAAAAGTCGGGGGGGGGGGGGGGCAAAAAAAATTGACAACTTACCTGAAAAACTTTGATAAGCAAAAAAAAGATTTTTTTTTTTTTGGAAATCTTTTTTCGGGAGGGGGGGGGGATTTCCAACTTTTTTCACAACCATTTATTCATGTTTACATTAGCACAATTCCCTGGTTTGTCTATACTGCAACAAAAACGGGGGGGGGGGGGGGGGCAACCTTTCAATGAACATTTTCAACAGTAAAAGGTTATGTTTGGAAAAAAGGGGGGATTGGGGCAGCCCCCCCCCCCAATTACGTGTCTGGATTAAAAAGCCCAGCATGTACTATACATTGTGATACAGAGGTATCAAAGGAGGAAAACATTAAGAATAAGCATTTTTTTTCTAATTTGACAATTTACACCTTTTACATGTATTGTAGGGTTTTAAGGGTCATGGGAGTGCATTCAACTCTAACTCTTCCACCAAAAACAATATATAAAGTTATTGGAGTATTTGAGATAGAGTATAATTTAACTTTCAAAAAAGAATAATAGATTATGTTTTTATTTGATTTTAATTTTCATTCATCTCTTTTAAGGTTTACTATCCCTCTGTTCACTCATATAAAACTTTGCTCTATAATGATAATTATTTTTGAAAAAAAAAGTGTAAATTATAATTGAAATGCTAGTAATTTTTTGCTTTGCAATATTTGACAGAAATCCCCCTTTAACTTGATAATTTTCCTAATCCCAGTGAGAGTTATTTCCCTTATCAGAGAGTCGATATCGATGTGAGAATACCCCCCCCCCCCCCAACACACACACACTTAATTTCCTTTCATGGCGTTTGTAGAAAATAATATCTATAAAGAAGTCAATTATTAAGAATTATCGATTGAATGAAATTAAGTGAAATTGTTCCAACAATCTGAAATTCACTCTACGAAAAAACTATAGTTTACCTTATTATCAAAATAAAGAATATACATTTTTATGAAGCCGTATTTTCACACTTGACAGTGTCATCGTTTACATAAATTTTACTGGGCACATATTGACCATCGCGCAAGGTTATAAAGTCTCGTATGTTTGCATGCACGACCATGTCGGAACTATTATTTCAAATCAGTTGATCCTGAGCTGGTTTACTAACTATTGCACACCAACAAAGAAGGCTACGGTCTCTACAGCTCTTTTTTCTTCACTTTAATGCGGTGTTAAATGCACTCTTGCGAAATACTGTAGTTTAGGTTTGTTTAGAAGACACACTTTTTTCCTTGTCAGTTTGTATACACGCTAAACTTGTCACCGACAAAGCCACAGGATTTCTCACAGGTATATTTGAATATGTTCTTTAATTAAGCAATAAAATGATTTCTTTGTTTATTAATACGAAGATAACGGTTACGACAATGCAGAAAAAATACATAATCCACGTATTTTTTTCTTCAGTGATTGCAGCCGTTAACCATGCATTAACAAGCAAAGAAAGACAATTTATTTTTTCATATTTATATCTGTATTAATTATCTGTACAAAGTGGGTGAATATGTAAAATATTGTATTATTGGTCCATACGTTACATTATTTCCAACAGATGGCTTCAAAAACAGGTTCTAAACATAGTTCAATGTTAATAGAATGATAATGGCAATGGGTTTTCATTAAGAAGTAAAGGAAAAAATATTGATCGTTTCAAACCTGTTATTGATATTTTTCAATGTGCCTATAATAAGCATAAACAGGGTGAATTCGGAGTTTGGGGATGGAGAGATATGGGGTTCCAGCTCAAATTTTGTTTTACACAACAAGAAAGAAAAGAACCTTAAATTGGCTGAATATCCGACTAAACAAAAAAGGGGGAGTCAAATCGGTTTATATTTTTAAACAGATATTTTTTACACTCTAGTAGCCTATGTTTTGCATGTCATGTGTAAGTTTTGACGATCACATTATTAATTTATTTATCTGTTCATTTCGTCATCTCTCTCTCTCTCTCTCTCTCTCTCTCTCTCTCTATATATATATATATATATGTATACTAGTATATATATACCCGGTATATTGTGATTTCCAATCTCAGTCGTTCTTTACTTTGTCAAAGGACTGTGCAGTCTTGGCACATTTTTTGATACACCAACTTGTATATATGTGCTTTAGTTTAAATCTTACATCAATAGACATTCAGTTTACATGTACCAACCAGACAAGTGTCTGACCTTATTTATCTGGGACTCTTAAAGGTGTGTTCCCATTTCGTGAAATACAAGTAAGAAAAGGCAGTAAGGCGAAATGAGAACAGCAAAGTTTACAGTTAAGGGAAAATGAGAACGACCTGTAACTTTTCATGCGTGTGTTTCAAAATCTTATCTCGGACTGCTAAAACCACACCTTTTGAATATTCACAATTTTCAACATTGGTCTATCCCGAGATCTACAAGCTATTAGAATGTCTGATTTTGAAACTGAAGAACCCAAAACAACTAAAAAATGAAATCTCTTTTTCTTTTTTACTTCCACATTTATTTAATTAAATCGATTTATTTAAGTCATAAATTTTGTAGAAAAGTATGTAAAATGCCTTTGCGTCGATCTTTCGTGAAGATGGACCATATCATACATGTCCAATAACGAATCCGATGTCGATATAGACAATATCATGTGATATCGTATAGTATCGATCCCGATAAGTACTATGAAATTGGAAATACTGGATATCATATATAAGATGAATGCTATTTCGACGATATCAAATCGATATCGAACCTGATCTATAAAATTTATTTTCAAGTTAATGTATGACATAATTATATAAAACCATAAGCGATGTCGATATTGATTCATAATTGGCATGAATATGTACATGTAAATAAATAAATGTTTGTGGTTGTTATTGTCAGGGTTTAGGGTTAGGCAAAGGTTTTAGGTTAGGGTTAGAGTGAAAGTTGGCAAAAACAGATCTTGAACAATCATGATTCAATATCGATACGATATCGTCGATAATGACGATATCGACAGCAGGGCAAACTTAGTAATCGGAAAGTACATACAAATGGAAACCATACAAATATAAAAACAAGAGGCCCATGGGCCTTAAAGGTCACCTGGGTGTAATTAAACACTGTGAAGGATCTAAAGAAGTATAAAATAAATCAAAATAAACTGATAGATGAAGCTGTGTTGCTCAAAAAGAAATAGGATGATCAGGATCAAGAAATTAATTAGTCTAGTACTCCTTAACAAATCTTAATGTAGATCTATTTACTTGCATGTACTTGCCCCATTTGTCACTTTCACTTTGTAAACTAAACAAAACAATAGTGCTTGACCACTATTACTATCATTCCAATAACAGTGTGCCACTTTGTTCGGTCGGGCGTGCTAAAGTTTTAAATGTTGACCACATGTTCTCATCGATTGGCTGACATACCATACAGTTCAAAGATATTTGTATACTTAAGGTATTGTGATAGCATAAAATATTCTTGAAAAGTGGATCAATTGTTAAAGTGAATGAAGTAAGAAACACCTGTGTTTTTGAAAATAGTATGTTGAAAAGTATTCTCATTGTACCGGTGTATAGCATTTACCACTGAGTAACAGAGGGGCGGCTATATGACGATGATGTAAGCCTGAAAAAGAAAAAAAGTTTTTATAACTATTTACAAATTTTATAATCAACTAAAAAGGTTTATATCCTAATGAAAGACATTGAATATTTACTGAAAGAGAATTGCACAATTAATTTCTTTTTTTTAAAAATAAAGACTTTGACAATCCTTTCATTTTCTTTTTTTTCAGGGCAGCATTATGCTGACCATACAACTGTACGTATTCCTTTTGTCTGTGACGTCAACAGTTAGCTATACATGTGACAGGACATCAACAGTTTGTGAGACGTCACTTGTTATTGAGCATTACTTAACAATGACCAGTGCTACAAATAGAGCCGTTTATCCAAAAGAAGGTAAACTGTACGACTACAGGGTGAAAAATATTTCTCAAGCTGAACCCGTTCCTCTTAGTGAAATAGTTACGGCGGATGGGTGGGAGTCTAAACGACTTATAGTGGTAGCCAACAGAACACTTCCAGGGCCCGATATAATCGTTTACGAGGGACAAACTGTCGTCATAAAAGTGAAGAATCATTTACATTCCGACTCCGTTACGATCCACTGGCATGGATTACCCCAAATTGGAACTCCTTTCATGGATGGAGTTCCTTTTGTATCTCAATGTCCTATTGAAGCCGGACAAACATTCACCTACAAGTTCAAGGCCCATCCAGCAGGAACATTTTGGTATCATTCTCATGCGGGGGCCCAACGTATCGAAGGGTTATTGGGTATTGTGACATTCGTAAAAATGAACCCAACCCCCTTCCAGAGCACATCATGCAAATCCAGGAATGGAATCATGATTGGGATGCTAATAAAGGATTTCAGTTGATGACCTATGGAATCATAGAAAATAGATCGAAATATGCACCCTCCCAATCCCTCGACGGTAGTTTCTTCAGTCTTTTTAGGGCGGACGCAGGGTTGATTAATGGTAGGGGACGATTCTACTCAGATCAAAATAAAAGTATTCACAATGAAGCTCCACTAGAAGTTTTCAATGTGACTCACGGTTCCACTTACCGATTTCGTGTGATTGGAGTGGGAGCTCTTTATCCGTTCAGAGTTTCTGTCGATGACCACGTGATTACTATCATAGAGTCCGATGGATTCCCAGTTCAGCCAAAGACAGTCGAGTCTTTCGTTATTAATCCTGGTGAGCGATTTGATTTCATTCTTGAAGCAAATCAGACGATTGGAAATTATTGGATACGAGGCAAAACTCTTGAAAGAACACCACGGACAACAGTAGCGGAAGCTATTTTACGATATGATGGTGCTCTTGTGGAAGAACCCAAAACTAATCGAAAACAGTGCACAACAGGGGACAAATGCTATGTCTTAAACTGTCCGTTTTCTTATTTTCCCCAGAATGAACATACAGAGTGTATCCGATTTGATCAGCTTCGTTCAACTGCAACTAATGATCCTGCACCGCCAGTTGTTAAAGGTAAATTTAAGGAATATTTTCTCAACTATGCCTTTCCCGGCACTGATAGGTTTCCCGGATCTGTAAATGGGAGGTCATTAGTCACTCCAACTGTATCTGGTGTATCACAACCAAAAGAAATAACGTCCGCATGCGATCAGGCGGGATGCGGTGAACAAAAATTATGTAGCTGTACATATGCCCTTAACCTTGATCACGGTGATACAATTCAAATGGTCTTCTTAAACATGGGTGTAGGTCGTGGATGGGCTCATCCAGTACATATGCATGGACATTCATTCTATGTCTTGAAAATGGGGTACGCAGATTACAACCAGACAACTGGCGAATTTATATCACAGAATGCAGACATCGATTGTAGAGGCGGTGTATCTGCGGACAAAAGCTTTTGTAATGAAGCTACGTGGAGTGACCAGTCTTGGTTAAATGGAAATGTTCCTGATCTAGAACTTCAAAATCCGCCACGTAAGGACACAATTATCGTTCCTAGTGGTGGTTACGTTGTGGTCAGAATCAAAGCAGACAACCCTGGATTGTGGATAATGCACTGTCATATTGAACTTCACTCTTCAGATGGCATGGCTATGCTGCTTAACGAGTCTTTTCCAAACCTCCCCAAGACACCACCGAATTTTCCTACTTGTGGAAATTTTGAAATTGATGCCTCCGAAATCATAGCAATCCCCGAGGAAGAAGGTAATGAAACTCAGTTTATTATTTATTATGAATACAAGGGAGGTCTCAGTTGAAATTATTTTAACTGGGATATAAATGTTGATATAGATGGGAGAAAAGACAGTAATTCTACATCTAATAAGCAAGTATGATCATTTCTAGAATGGATTTGAGCTTGTTTCATTTGTAGAATACTCAGAAAGTCAGAAAGGCAGTACTATTACGTTAGAAAATATCGTATCAATGATCGGCATGAAATACTTCGTGCAGAGCATTTGCAAAGACAAAATTTTTTTTTTCTGATAGTCCTGCTAAATAAAGAATGGAAAAAATGTCTGCAGAGCGAGAACTACCATAATGGCATTTGATTCAATTCATCTAACACTAACAAATTGTGTATTTTATTTCAGATACAATCCCGCTCCAAAGGTTCTATATAGTTGTTGGTGTTTTAGCTGGAATCATTTTACTGCAGTTTTTGGTTATCATAGGCATGCGCTGTTCAGCTAGGAGGTCTGGAGCCGGAGAAGGGAATGAAGCAAGATTTTCAAACGGTGCCTCAAATCCAGCTTATAAATGAGAGAAAGAGAGAGTGGGGGTGGAGAGCGATTTGAAAAACAAATTATTGTAAAAATATGAGCATAAAACAATATTTCAGCGAGTGGATTAGAAAAATTATGAAAACTATTTCTACTGCTACATATTTGATTTTAGATGAAAACTGAGCAAAGAGATGACCGTTAGGTCAATGTCTGGTGCTTTGCTGAGTATTTGTTTGTAAAAAGCTTTATTTAGTTTTATACAACAGGTGATGGATTTGTGATAATCATTTTTTAATGGCATGCACTACGTATATATATAATATATATATATATATATATATTACACAAAATGTATACTGGTACTATATTTGTAGAATTAAACTTTTTTTCATTTTTGTATTGCTTTGATAGAGAGCAAACTGTTGCTGTATGGATACCGTAATCCATCAATGTACCATATTACATTACCTCTGACAACTGGACCATATGGGTATATGACTCTGCCAGTTGTTTTCCCGTGTATTTTTAGGCCTGCTTGTATGTCTTTAAGTATGTTAAGCTATACTTTTGCTTGTCTGGTATTTTTCTCTACAGTCAATTGACCAACTCCAATTTAGCGCTAAAATCCTTTAAAATAGGGATATATGTGTATCTAAAGGTAGGAACGTGCTTATCTTCCAGACTCGGGAACAAAGATTAAAAGCTGTACATAAGTTACAATCATTTCTAATACCACTAATTTAATCAGTAATTTTATATACCATATACCTTTATCTTCACTACATGTACTTGTATATACACCCGGTAGGTATTAGGGTTTGAAGAATCCTTACTATATAGCATAATCGGACTTTAAAATTAAATTTATTATTCATATTGTATTGCCTGAAGTATTATTTCAAGAGTTATTTGGCAGTGTTACTGAATGTATGAATTTATCAACTAATTTTATGTATAAATTTGTATTTAAGAGCACACGATTGATTATTCAGACAATAGTTAGAGTAAGTTTTGAATTACATGTATTTTAGAAAATTTCATATGAATCGATTTTTTTTTATTTGAATGGAAGACTTTTTTTTATTCTTGTCTCATTACAGTTGCTGAATATTTTGAGATTACTTATTGTGCTTTGAATCTTTTTTACACCATTTTATAGTACTTTTAAATATACATCGTGTACCATTAATTATAAGAAATAAAATGATTATTGTCATTCTAATAATGAAAAGCATCCAGTAAAATATGTGTAACACAAATTTGGAATAATTGCTGCGGGATAGTTAGCACGATCAAAAAAAATTCAATAAAATTCAAATCATCCAGTTGATCTTTTTTAAAATCCGTATCTTGCACCTTATAATCTGTGTTAATTTTTTTTCTTTCTTTTTGAATTAAGTTACTTGATACAATATACATGTTCACGTCCCAGTGTTTGAATATAAAGGAAACAATTACACTTTTCAAAAAGGTTTTATCACAAGGAAATTTGATATGTTTGTTTTCTTGTATTTAAATCCTTCGAAGGTTTACATACATGTACCCCCTATGAATTCCAACTAACATAATGGTTTATAGAATCAAATACCTATCCAATCTGTCTAGGATGCCATTCTACAGGGTTGGAGTCAATTACTTTGAAATGTAATTAAATACTTTCAAATACATTGAGAATTTTGTCAATTACTTGCAATTACAATTACATTGATCTTTACAAATGTAATTAATTACTCTCAATTACTTTGAAGAATGTAATTAAATACATTTCAATTACTTTTGTTTCGCTTTCAAAAATCTTGAAGAACAAATACATGTAAATTAAAGGAGGGGGAATATTTAAAATAAATAATGTCAGGTGTCTGTCATGTTTGTGTGTAGCTGCAGGTCTGTAGCTTGGTGGTCTGAAAAAATTGGGATGGACGACCAGAGCGCTTGCATAAATTGTGTGTTTCATCAACACAAGACCTAGTCCTACATGTACATTTATCAATTGATAGCCTTTATGAAATTTGATTAAAAGTGAGTTTTCAAGAGTTTATGAATCAACCATAAAATACTTTCAAATTATTTCAGCTACACAGGTAGGCAAGCTAAACACTTTAAATTGCAAATATTGACAATTTTCATAAAATAAATAATACTTGTTTTATGTAATAGCCATTTCAGATACCAAATGCATACATGTATATAAAGATCTGTTTAAATGTTAAATTAGTGATTCAATATAATATATATTTCTTTTCTGAAATATATTAATTGTAGAGCATTCTTAATAGTATTTAATAAGTAAGTAAGTAAATATTTTATTATAGTGACATGTGTATGGTGTTTCAAACAACAAATTGACCTATATGTCACTTTAATATATGTGCATTATTTCCATTTTCAATAAAGATAGCACGCATGACATTAATTTGATTGGTATAAATATTTTTGTCTTATTGAAAAGCATAAATTTAAAAATTTGGCAGTTTGTCTTTGATGATGAGTTTTCATTAAAGTGTTTAAATTTTCAACTGGATCTACATTTCTATTTAAATTAACATTATGAAAAAAAGTTTCTCTGATATTTTCATATATAGATTTTACAATAAAATAAGAAATGTTTTTCATCTTCTACCGATCCGTCTTTACATAAAACACAATAACGTTCTTGTGGCGGTTCATTTCTAAATCGGCCTGTTTCTATTCGTAGCGGAAGGAAACCACGTCTAAACTGAGCTATAGTCCTGAGAATCCTGTTGCAATCTATCCTGTGTTTTCTTAATAATTCGGCCGTTTGAAGTGATTCGAAAATCTTTTCCATGACGCAATTCATTTAGCAGTGTACGTGCATTCAATTCCAATAATCTTTCGGTATGAGTTTTACTACCACGCAAAAACACATGCTTATACTTTTCCACTGTTTTCAATTGTTTCTTTTCCCTCAAGATCTGTATTTTATCCTGGACTGACTCAAAGCTAATTTTAACTAAAGCCGGTTTTCCAGTGTTCCGATTTCTTAACCGAGCAGCAGCAACCACATTAATTGATGCATTTAGAGAATTTATCAATTCGTTTGACACCTCCAATATGTCTTCATCCGGTTCCTTTGGAATGTTTGAAGCTATAATCGTTAAATCTGCGTTGTTCAGGGGGTTCCCCTTGTTTTCAAACAGCGTGTTCGAATTATCTGCTGACCTACTTACATGTACAAGGTCCGGGCGTTCTACTTCTACATTTTCAACCACCTGGAGTCTCTGAAGAATGGACGCAACAGACTGTGACAATGAGTCGATTTCCAAGTTCAAGGTCAAGGTCAGAACGGATAGCTTTGAGCTTTTCGTCGATAGATGACATAAAATCATTTCGGAATCTGTCTTATTTACTGTTTAATGTTGATTTTAAATGTGTCTGACCATCCTGTAGTTGATCTATTGCTTTAATTAGCAATTATAGTCATTTGATCAATCATTTTATTTTCAAAGCTTTCTGTTGTCACAGTTGTGTTAAACTCACCGCTCGATGCCGCCATCTTGAACATCTTGTTCGGGGGTTTTGGTGTCTGTCCATCAGAGGAGAGTCTTCTTCGTTCAGATTCAGACATTCTTAATCCTTCTTAATCCTCCCAAGAAACATCTCAAACACTATCTCTATCCCCGTAACTCAAAATCCACAAATACCATTACAATTTTCAGATAATTTTCTTTTCACTAAGAACAAAAATTTCGTGACCACTTTCACCTCACGCATGCGTATCTTATGTCACCTCTAATGGTCATATCTTTGAATTTAAACAAACCATGATATAGAATTATATAAAACTTTGGAGGGTTGTTTTGATAGAAATTTACAGCTGGGAGTTGAAGGGTAACAAGGCAAGTCTTTCTGACACATTTAAAAATTATTTTCTATTCCTCTTTTGATAATCAAGCAACAAAAAATTGAAATGCTTTCATGCCTATACCAATGAGGTGTAAAACAAAATTATTGATAAACATTAAACTAGTTTTGATTCTTTCTGTGCATTATGATTATAAAACAAAATAAAATTTTTATAAACAAGCCAATATATCAAATTAATTTATCAAGATATAAAAAAAAAGTTTAAGATTTTGAAAAACAGAAGGGCTTTTTTTGAATTTAAAATAAATGTAAAATGTGACTGTGTTGGAAATATTTTCCTATTAAATACACATAATATGTATTATGAAAAGTAACTGAAATGTAATTGAAAAGTAATTGAAATAACAGGGTATTTTTTCAATGTAATTAATTATATTCAATTACAAGTAATTGAAAAAATGGTCAATTACAATTACTTTTTTCAATTACCCCATCCCTGCCATTCTAATCTATTTATGAGACACAGCGTGGGAAGCATCCCTACTTTAGCAAGGAATCTCTACTTTATACATGTAGCTCATTTTGAATCAAACCTAACTTGATCTGTGGGGAAAACCTTGTAATAGTCGAGGCTATTTCAAGATATGATGGAGTTCATATGGAAGAACCTAAAACCACTAAGACAATGCACAGCAGTAAATACATGCAAAATGTCATTTTTCTTCTTGCCCCAAAACGAACACATGTATCAGGCTTGATATAAACTTTTCCGACTTACACATCACTGCCAAAAGTTTATGGAACGGTCAAAGAATAAATTCTAGGTGTTGAGAGCTTTCCAAGATTTCCTACAAATTCTGGTCGAACACTGCCATATGCGCTGTATTTCAGAGTGCCTGGGAACAAAAATAAGTTAAATAACGAAAGTATGCTGAATTCATTCAGTCTCCATTATGGAGATACTTTTGTTAAACTTATTTATCATGTTTTTGTTTTATGGGAAATACTTTGTTTTGTGATTTTTGCAATTACAATAATTATACTCGAGGACTTCTTATGGGAATTTGCTGGTACAGTTATAGTTATATCTATAAAAGAAGATTAATGGAAATTAAAGTAAACATAATATATGGAACTTGCGATTGTTATTTGCACGCTAAGTTAATTTATTGTACCTCGGTATTGATATATTGAATTGCACGGAGAACAGTAATCACAAAAAGGGTGGTTTTTCAATCATTCAAGGAACTGATTTAAGAATGGAGGGCTGGATGAGTTACTTTTTATTTTACCAGGTGCTTAAATCAGAATATTTTTGGTGAGTTGGTAAAATTATTATGTTGAATCTTTAATTAAGATCCGTGAGGAATATCCTATTACAGGTTCATATTTAGCTACCAGTGGTTGAAACTTATATGTCAGTATATTTGGTCGATAGACCATCACTGGATCATACAATCTAAAGCTTGATTCAAAGAAATATAGTTAAGTATTGAGTTATCATTTTTTCTAAAGAAAGATGGGTGAACGAGTCGAGAAAAATACCTATGGTGTGACAAATAAGAAAGCCAAAAATTAAATCTCCCCCGGGGTAAGATGGGGCTACAATGGGCAGTCAAAGTTTTACACAGGAACACATAGGAAAAATCTTTAAAAAAAATCTTCTTCTTTAGAGTAGCAAAGCCATGATTAGTCATAATAATATCAAAGCATCCAGAAGATTTGACCAAGTATAGACAATCCATTGTATCTAAAATTATACAAGCAAAAAACGCAAAAATCATCCACAGTTTCTGGACTTATGATGGGAGAATCTTCCTTAAGTTTGAACAATATGGAGACCGATTTGAAGTCACCTCACTGGAGGAACTTGACAATCTGATTAACGGGTAAATTGTACGGTAGACTAAAATTCACATTGCAGTTGTACAGCACTGATCATGACTGTCTAATATTCCTCAAAGCATAAAACAAGTTTTATTATATATTTATATGCCGTATATATGTTCATGTATTATTACGTAAATACAGCACTATTCACCCACTTGCTCTCCTTAAATTATGTCAACAGGTTATTTCTGGTGATCAGTCGTCCCTTTGTACATATGCCAATTATGACTGATTCACAAGTGTTACCATTCTGGTATATACTTTATTTTTTGTCTTTTTCTTCACATTTTTTATTTTTGTTGTTTGCTTTTTTTTCATTTCCATGTGTTCACAGTTTTGTATGTCTATTCCAACCAACTTATGATTTTGCTCTCACAAAATATTACTTGCGGCGCAGCAACTTGTTTTTTAAGAAAATCAAATTCCTCTATTTAACCAATGATAGGTAATACTATCGAGCAATATCGAGCCGCTATTGGTAAATATTACTGCAATAGATGTACAACCAAAACAGTATTTTTCCCTCTCTTAAATGTCAAAAATCTATATCTGTATCTAACAAATCTTAGCAAAAAAAGCTTTAAACAACTACAAATATGCAGTATTTTTCAACAAAACATTTTACATCTACAATTTTGGTTTCAAATTCTTTTTTTCTTACATCTTTTGTCAGGAGACATTGAAATAAATCCAGGTCCTAAAAACGATCAAATACACACACTGGACGTCTTTCATTTAAATATAAGAAGTATACGTCACAAGATTGAAAATATAACAACATTAATCACGGATTTCGATATTTTATGTTTCACTGAAACACATTTGGACTCAAATGTATGTAACAACGATATCGTGATTGAAGGTTATGATACAATTTTTCGTAGAGATAGGAACTCTAATGGGGGAGGCATTATCATCTATGTTTCTTCATGTCTCCGTGCAATTCGTCGTA